GGAGACATTTTTCTGTTGGCTTGTTGGCAGGCACCCGAAGAGAGATCCTGTGTCAGGTTTCGGTGTTATCTCAAATAAACTTCATTCTCAAATGCAAAGTCTTTGATGAATCTTTTCTTTATTTGAGAATAAACTACGTCATTCCTGAACTCTTTGTGCAGCAGAACTGGCATCTCCTTCCAACCCCTCCCTTTCCGTTCTTTATTCCCCAATGTCTCATTGGCCATCGTGCAGATCCATCTCTCCGTCCCAAGCACTTTCCATTCACAGGAATTCCCCCCTCCCTCTATCACCTAAGTAACGTTATCTACCAAGGAGCAGGAAACTAAGTGAAAGTTCATCTCAGCATTAAAGCAAGGCTTCTCTCTCTCTCATTCATGTCAGCGCTGGGGAAAATCATAAATTGGAACGCTGACATCCTGAACAGCTGTTGACTGTCAAATGTTTGTGATCTGTGCGTCTAATCTCTGATCGATGAACTAGTCTTCCCGTTGTGACTGGAGATGTTGTACATTCCTACAAATGGAGCTCAACTCATGGTGGCTTCATGGACCAGTTAGACCATCCATCTAGCTCTTATAGCAGCTGTAGAGAGCAGCAGTTAAAGTTTGAAGGGACTTGAGAGAAGGTGATCTTACCAGTTAACGAGAATGTTTGTAGCTCAAGGTTGAACTGTGGGATCCTTGACGTTCTCTAAGCTTGGTTGTTTGTTTGTAGACATTTCATTACCCGACTAGGTAATATCATCAGTGCTAGGTGGTTAAGTTATCTGCCTCCAGTTTTAGTGGCTTCCCCTAAGCCAGGGGTCTTAATCACTCAAAGAGCCATTTGGACCCGTTTCCCACAGAAAAGAAAACACCGGGAGCCACAAAACTTGGGTGGGCGTGGCCAACTCAACGTCACTCACTTCCACCAGTCACATGATTCCCCCCTAGCCACGCCTACCCAGCCGGTCATTAGGACAGGTTATTAAAAAACACCGGGAGCCACAAAGCTCTTTTGACATCTCTCTCTCCCACTCTCCCCACCTCTCTCTCTGTATCTCTCTGTCTCTGCCCCGGCCACTTCTCCATCACCCGCTGTCACCCTTACCTTCTCAGGCCAGGTGAGCAGTGACTGGGAGGGTGAGGGGTGGGGCCAGCCAGTGGTGGGATCACCCGACAGGGAGCCACAGCAGAGGGCCCAAAGAGCCACATGCGGCTCCAGAGCCACAGGTTGCTGACCTCTGCCCTAGGCCACTCAGTTCTTTAGGAGGACAGACTACAGATCATAAACTATGCAGACTGTCCCCCTCCTGCCAGATTCATTCTTCCCAATGTTAAGATGTTCTAGACCTCTTTTTATATCTTCCTTCTCATGACAGCCTTCTCTAATCCTGACATTTTATCAACAAAGATCTTTTTCAAGCACCCCTTTGTTTTTTAATTCTCTTTGCATTGCAAAACACTGCTTTATTATTTTAAATTGCTTAGGTATTGTTGGTGATGAGAAGTGCTGCACAAACGCTTCCATCAAACAAACAAGGAAATAATACAATTTTTATCTCCCACAGTTTAGACGTTTGATCAGCCATTTCTTACCGACAGTGACCATTTCTTCATAGAGAAGAGCTCCTCGTAGATTTGCAGGAGGTCTAGGGTTAAGTGCTTAGCGTAACTTCAGAAACATAAAAATTACATCCAATTGTTATCTGGCTATCCGATCCTTTGTTTCGCAGCCTGCCCGGCTCTTCATATGCCAGCTCCCTTGACAATTGAACTTGGAGCAGAGATGCAATTAGATTGCTAAGGAGATGTGAAAAGCAGCACAATTTATTAATTCAAGAGAAAGTTAAGAGCCGTCTGGATAAGAGGAAGATTTCAAAGGAAGGTTGATCATGCATCCGTCTATTATTTATGCAATATTTTGAAAGGCCAGCTGAAGAAGGGAATGGGGTTGTAAACGGACTGGAAGACATCTTTAGCAAGGATGAGGAAAGGGACACCCTTCATCTAGTGCAGAGGTCTTCAAACTTGGCAGCTTTAAAACTGGTGGACTTCAACTCCCAGAATTCTCCAGCTGGGATAATTCTGGGAGTTGAAGTCCACCAGTCTTAAAGCTGCCAAGTTTGAAGACCTCTGATCTAGTGGGACTCTCCCCCCGAGTTCTTGCACTGGGTCCAGAAGTGATCCAAGTTGCTTTCCTTCAAGGAAGATCTAATCCCATTTGGAGCAAAATGAACAGAGATGGGCTTTCCCAATCTGATCAATCTGCCTGGAATTTCTCTTTGCCATATTTTGGGTATTTTCTACCTATCTGCCCGAAGTCACTCCAGAAGCTTCCATGCAGAGGTGAAATCCAGCAGGTTCTGACAGGTTCTGGAGAACTGGTAGCAGAAATTTTGAGTAGTTCGGAGAACCGGCAAATACCACCTCCGGCTGGCCCCAGAGTGGGGAGGGAATGGAGATTTTGCAATATCCTTATCCCAGGAGTGGGGAGGAAATGGGGATAGAATGGGGGTCTCCTCATCCAACACCTTGACCATTGCACCATACTGCCTCTCAAAACTTCTTCTGAGTTATTAACCCAACAACCTTTTTTCATACTATGGGAAGATCTTAATTGCTATGCCTTTATAGCAGGATGGGGTATTTTAATTTTTTTAATTATTTCTTTTCTTTTTCTTTCTTTTCTTTTACTATCCCTATCCTGAAATACTGTACGGATTGTTTTTTTAAAAAAAAATAACTGTACCAAACGGAGTTGATTGTTAGTGCTTCTCTGTTCTCAAATGGATGTTTGCCTAAAGACTAATGGATTTGTCATGCCTCCTGATTAACTGGACTGGGGTGCAGAAAAAAAGAGCCTTGGTACTACAGGGGTTTAAGGCACCCTGTTATTAAGCTTATTAAGACCAGCTGCCTGCAATTACTGCAGGGTTCGAATCTCGCCAAGGCTCAAGGTTGACTCAGCCTTCCATCCTTTCTAAGGTAGGTGAAATGAGGACCCAGTTTGTGGGGGCAATAAGCTGACTTTGTATAAATATACAAAAGGATGAAGGCTATTGCTGAGCACATTGTAAGCCGCCCTGAGTCTCCGGAGAAGGGCGGCATATAAATCAAATTTAAAAAAAAATAAAAAAAATAATAATAAAAAAAAAAATAAACAGAGTTTGCCACCGTTTGTGGGGCTGTGATCCTACCCCTTTCTCAACCGAAGCCATAGAATTGCAAATAAGAAAACATAATCCCTCTCCCCCCCCCATTATTACGTCTTATAATTATGTGAAGGCGTTGAGTGTCATAGAGTCAACCTTTGGAAAACAATTTTGTTTAATGACTAGTGCTTAATTAGTGCTTGAACTTATCAAAAGCGAACGAGATCAAGACAGCATCAAATTTGGGTGGCAACATTTTTTTGGCCATTATGTCAGCTTCTTAAACTCTTGGGAAGGGGATCTGCTTTTCTGAACAGAAAGAAAACTTTTTTAAAAAAAGTTTCAATACTTCTTTCTTTCTGACAAGACAGGATTGGAGCATTTGTTCAATAAATGCAAAAGTATTCCCTAAAGTCTGGTTTCATGCAACAATATAAACTTGCAAAGTAGTTCCAAAGGTGCTTTTTTGGGTTTTTTTCTTTTGAAGACGTTTCGCTTCTCATCCAAGAAGCTTCTTCAGCTCTGACTGAATGGTGGGGAATGGAAGGATTTATATTCCTTGCAGACAGCTGGTCATTTGCATCCTTTTGGAAGGTTGTTGAAGTTACCTGGAGGTTTATCGGTGTCCTCAGGGTCACCTGAGTGGTGCTCCCAGTTCATCTAGTCTGCAATTTTTTCTTCTAAAAATCCACTCCTACTTCTATACCATTCCAAGGGGGTTCGTCCTAAATTGTGCAGCTAAAAGGTTTTGCTTTTGTAAAGAAGTATCGAGATTTAACAGATTTCCTAGCTCACACCAACAGTAGTAGGAGTAGGAATAATAGTAGTAGTAATAATAGATGTGTGTGTGTATCAGTGTCTCCTATGACTTCACCGGTCTCAACACTCAAAGAAAAGTCCCTTGGAACTGAAATTAATGAGACTTACTCCCACCCACTCTCTAGTAATAAATTAATGCAGTGCATTAAAACCATAGTTCACAACTTAACAAGATTGGGTAAAGTTTAAGGGCTGCTTTTCACACAGCTTTTATTAACTCACATGAAGTGAGTCTGTCCAGTTGTGTTGATGGTTTAGCAGTGGCTTGTACACATCCAGAAAACGGATTCAGTAACCCGCTTCAGGGCTACATGAATGCAACAAATGTAGAAATACATGTAATAAAGGTTATTATTATGGGTAGTCACACAGTCAGCCAGATGTTCAGACTGGATTTGGCATTATCCACCTACTGAGACCTTCCCAAGGACCCAGGATAGGCCGACGTTGTTATCTGATGGTGTTAGACATATTATCGCAGGATGTCAGCTGTTCCAAGTCAAGCTGCCTTTTGTAATTGACCGATGGGGATTTTGTCAATGCTGCTGGTGTTCAAATGGCACTCCAGATGTTTGGGGATTATTATTTTGGTTCATCGCACAGTCAGCAGATGTTCAGACTGGATTTGGCATTTTTAAAAAATTTATTTATTTTATTTATTTTATTCAATTTGTATACCGCCCTTCTCCTAGTGGACTCAGGGCGGTGCACAGCCAGAACTAAAACACATACCAATACAAAATTTAAATTTTTAAAAAAGAATTACATGACTTTGGTCCAAAATTTAAAACATTCAAACTAAAACCCATTGACAATTTAAAAAGCTAATTTAAAAAGCTAAAATCCATCCATGGAGTCCTTCCCAAGGATTTGGGATAGGCAAATGTGGATGTTTGACGGTGTTACAGATATCATCGCAGGATGTAAGTAGTCATGCACGATCATTACAACCTGGAACCTGAGAAAGGTGGAGGCTGTGTTTGGTCTTGAATAAGAAACCTGTCCAGTTACCCAAACACACCTTGACTTATTCCTTCATCTCAAGCAGGTGTCCAAACTGAGGGCGCTTCTTCTCCATGGATTTCCCAAATATCTCCTGGTACAACGACAGCTATGAAAACAGGACTCTCAACAGCTCCAGCCTGGAGCAGAAGCCCACCCACTACAACTACTACGCCATGCTGCTCACTCTCCTCATCTTTGTCATCGTCTTTGGCAACGTGCTGGTCTGCATGGCCGTGTCCAAGGAAAAAGCCTTGCAGACTACGACCAACTACCTGATTGTCAGCCTTGCTGTGGCTGACCTGCTCGTGGCTACTCTGGTGATGCCATGGGTGGTCTACATGGAGGTAAGAAGGCCACGGTTGCAACCTCAGGTCTTCTGGAGGCCTGGCAGATGTCCATTGTAGGCATTCCATGAAGGTTCCTTTGGAAGCAGGAACTTCCGTAGAGAAAATTTGGGCAACCAAGAGAAATATAAGGGTGATGTAAAATGTCTCTTGAAGGCTGTCAATTAAGTGTCAGGTCTGTATCCATGGAAGTTCTCTCCTTGGGAGAGAAAGACTAGCTCCAGAGATCAGGTTCCTTCAAACTGAGCAGAAGCTCTGGTGAATTCAGGAAAACAACAGGACCTTTCTCGACAGGAATACATGACATAATTTTTTGGGGCTTCCCAATCTAGGAAGCAGGCTGGGATTTCCCTGGGACAGTAACCAGTCTTTGAAGGCTAACCCTATTTAGCTTCCAAGACTAGGCCAGGTTTCCTGGCTTTCCTCCACCTGCTGAGACGAATAAACCATCTATACCCCAAGCCCACTCACAACTATTCCGCAGAGGGCTGTGCATTTTCAACCATCGTTGTTCCTTGTCAGGGAAATGCATGGTGGGATCCGCTTGCTTGCATTCATGAAGCATAGTGAACATTTTTTTAAAAAAATTAGATTTATATGCCGCCCTTCTCCGGAGACTCAGGGCGGCTTACAATGCGTTAAGCAATAGCCTTCATACTTTTGTATATTTTATACAAAGTCAGCTTATTGCCCCCACAAACTGGGTCCTCATTTCACCTACCTTAGAAAGGATGGAAGGCTGAGTCAACCTTGAGCCTTGGAGAGATTCGAACATGCAATAATTGCAGACAGCTGAATGTTAATAACAGGCTTTTAGTCTGTTGAGCTATCCAGGCTCCTGGATGGATGGATATGGTTACGTGATTAGGAATGTGTTTGTTGGCGACGCGCAGGGAGAGAAAACAACAGGGTTCGTTGCCATAAACAATTGATATTCTGCTTTTCTGCATTTCAAAAGACCAGGTTTACAAGCCATATTTGCAAATCAGTTTTTCTATGAGAGCCTGAAGCTCTGAAACAGGGAGTGGGATGGCTTACATTTTTTGATGCCTTATCTCAGGGGTGGGCAATTGTGGCTCTTTTACAACCTGTGGACTTCAACTCCCAGAATTCCTGAGACAGCCAAGCTTGGCTGTCTCAGGAATTCTGTGAGTTGAAGTCCACAGGTTGTAAAAGAGCCACAATTGCCTACCCCTGCCTTATCTCCACGATGTTGCTGGTGAGGGAGGATGGGCTTCCAGAGATGGCAATGCTGATCAAAGTCAAAGGTATCCCATGAACCAAAATGCCCCTTTCTCTGGAGACATGGGCAGAAGGCAGGTCGGTGGGAGGGGGCTTTGGGTGGGTGGGGGGCTTGAGGAGGTCCTGGACCCTCATCACATTCATTTCCAGTGACCGTTAAGAGTTGCAGAGCAGAAAACTCTTTCCTTCCAGCCAGTGCTGATAAAATATTTGCCAATCTGACATGACTGGCAGATTGCAGCCGAAGCCAGAATAAAAGATTCAGCAAAAGAGAATGAATCTCACACTTTTGCACGGACGCAGGCATGCACGCCCATGCACGCGCTTGACCTACACTCACCCTCCATGAACTTTGACCTGACGGTGCTCCTTTGTTCCTTTCTCCTCTCTTTCCAGGTGGTGGGCGAATGGCGCTTCAGCCGCATCCACTGTGACATCTTTGTCACCCTGGACGTGATGATGTGCACAGCCAGCATTCTTAATCTCTGTGCCATCAGCATTGACAGGTGAGACATGCCCTCTGGGTCTCCAACTTCCCCCCACTCTTTTTTTCTCTCTCTCTCTCCATGTCCTTGCCAACTCTGAACCCACGTCTCGGAGAAAAGGTCTTCTCTCTTGCTTGTTTTCAAGAGATGGGATGTGCTCCCCATGTCCCCCTCTGTTGTTGTTGTGTCTTTTCCCACAGGTACACTGCTGTGGCCATGCCCATGCTGTACAACACCCGCTACAGCTCCAAGCGCAGAGTCACTGGGATGATAGCCGTGGTATGGATCCTCTCCTTCGCCATCTCCTGCCCTCTGATGTTTGGGCTGAACAACACAGGTATGCAAGAGGGCAGGATACTCTCTTGGGGTTGAAATAAAGTTCCCCCTTTAGCCAGTGGTGAAATCCAAATCTTTTTACTTCTGGTTCTATGGGTGTGGCTTGGTGGGCGTGACAGGGGAAGGATACTACAAAATCCCCATTCCCACCACCCCACTCTGGGGCCAGCCAGAGGTGGTATTTGCTGGTTCTCCAAACTACTCAAAATTTTCGCTACCGGTTCTCCAGAACCTGTCAGAACCTAATGGATTTTACCCCTGCCTTTAGTGGTTCTGGTCTCTGTCCTGAATATTGCATGCTTTTCTCACTGAACCAAGAAAAGAAATGTGCAGAGATGAAATCCTCAGACACGCAGAGCAGAGCCAGGAAAAATCAAGACTCCTTGCAAGGGTGGCCAGTAGTTCTTCTGAGTCTTTTGGTCACACCGAGCTGATAACTGCCAAACTCCCTGGTGTCCCCTGCCAGGCCCCTTGTTCCACCACTTGCCCTCTCAAGTTGAAAATGCAGCTTGCTCCAGTCTAAGATGTTCTTATTCTAGGTTTACGTTTGGTTCATATCAGTGTAAATGATGGGGTGGAGGTGGGGAAGGGACACTTTCCCTTGTCCATCCATGGAAGTGTTGGGAAACTGCCAGCCAGGCTGGAAGGAGGAGTCAAACGAGGATCTAGTTTGGAGTCCTTGCGTAGCTGCAAGTGGCATAGGCTTCTTCTTCCCCATGAAGCCTTATCTGGATGTTCCCAGGGGAAAGCAAGCAGTCTGGTGGGGTTCTTGTAATATAGGTGGTAGGCAATAAAGTTGCTGATTTTATTTTTGTTGTCCACAAGTGGCTCTGGTTGCTTGCATCTGACAGAAGGTGATGGGCTCAAAACCTGGAGTATCTCGCTACCCCTTAAAAAGCCTTATTTGTGAGTTGAGGAAGCTTTCACCCCCTTCCCCAATTCACCATTGCTCTTTATTTAAACCTGAGTAAAAGCCTTAGCTGTTCCTCAGTTCTCTCCCTCAAATGGAAAATCTCACCCTCAGAAGGTCCGTTCCACAGAACGAAAGGTTGAAGATGGGATTCCATCTCAAAAGGAACCTCTGTTGCCCTTCTTGCACCCACAGCTCTCTGGACACCCAGGCTGACTGTAGCTCCTAATGGCTGGGGCAACATTCCTGCCCTCTCTTGTGTCTTCCAGAGAAGAATGAGTGTATCATTGCCAACCCTGCCTTTGTTGTGTATTCTTCTATCGTCTCCTTCTACGTTCCTTTCATTGTCACCCTGCTGGTGTACGTGCAGATCTATATAGTGTTGCGGAAACGCAGAAAACGGGTCAACACGAAACGCATCGCCAGTCACGTGGGTCTGGACGCCGACACGCAGGCCCCGTTGAAGGTAACCCCGGCTGTCTCTTCCCAATCTCCGTCTTCTCTGCCCCACTTCCCCAGTTACGGTTTCCACCCTATGATTTCCTCACTTCTCGGTCTCTTCCCCAATCAGCGGTGTTTCATGCGAAGGTGGCTGCAAGGAGATGGTTCTCCAAGGCAGGGGTCTCCAACCTTGGGAACTTTAAGCTTGGTGGACTTCAACTCCCAGAATTCCCCAGCAAACTGGCTGGGGAATTCTGGGAGTTGAAGTCCGCCAGGCTTAAAGTTACCGAGGTTGGAGATCCCTGCTCCAGGGCACAGCAACAGGCAGCAGTCATGCATGGAAATATTGGCTTCAGGAATCAATGGGGTGCTTTGCCGGACTGATTAGTTGTCTTATCTTTAGCATTGTTTCTCCCTTGTGGGGGAGATAGAACTCTTCTCCGTCCATGGCCTTGTCCCAAAGATGCTTTTTCAGGAGGCAATTGGACTTCCTTGTTTTTTCTTTTGAAGACAATTCGCCTCTCATCCAAGAAGCTTCTTCAGCTCTGACAGGATAGTGGGGGAATGGAAGGATTTATATTCCTTACAGACAGCTGGTCGTTTGCATCCTTTTAGAGGGTCGTAGATAGAAGCACTTGGGGGTTTATCTGTGTCCTCAGGGTCACCTGAGTGGTGCTCCTGGTTCCTGTAGTCTGCATTTTTTTCCCTCTGGAAATCCATTCCTTTGTCTTCAGAAACATCTTCCAAAAAAAAGAAAGAAAGAAAGAAAGAAAGAAAGAAAGGAAGGAAGGAAGGAAGGAAGGAAGGAAGAAGGGAAGGAAGGAAGGAAGGAAGGAAGGAAGGAAGGAAGAAAGAAAGAAGGAAAGAAGGAAGGAAGGAAAGAAATAAGGAAGGAAAAAAAGAAAGAAAGGAAGGAAGGAAGGAAGGAAGGAAGGAAGGAAGAAAGAAAGAAAGAAAGAAAGAAAGAAAGAAAGAAAGAAAGAAAGAAAGAAAGAAAGAAAGAAAGTCCAGTTGCCTCCTGAAAAAACACCTTTGGGACAACCATGACCTGGATGACTGAGAAGCTCTACAGACTTGTTCATGGCCTCCCCTTTCTCCTTGGTTCTATTCTGGATAGTTGCTGTCTTATGCCAACCACCCTCCTTCTTCTTTCTTCTTCTCTCTTTCTCCTTCCTCTTCTTCTTCAGGAGAAATGCACTCATCCAGGAGATGTCAGGCTCTGCTCGCTCCTTGTGAAGAGCAACGGGAGCTTCCCTGTCCACAAGGGCAAAGTGGTGAGTTTCCATGCCAAGCACCCCAAGTCTACACAGATGCTGACTTATAGGCACCCTTGGCTTTGAATGCTTCAAAGTACCAACCAGAGTCTCAAAGTACCAACCACAAAATAGGAGCTGGTGCAGTGGTGAAATACTTCACAGGTTGCCATCAGTTCGCTGCCTGCTGCCTGCATGCTGCATGCATGTACATGAGCAGTGTGTGCCAAACACACACTTTGTGTGGAAAAAGGGGCCGTTTGAAGGTAAGTAGAACAGCGAGGGGGGTGGAACCACTGTGCCGCGTGATTTAGATCTGCTAGAAAGCAAGGTTTCCTGCTTTCTAGTGAATATACTGTATTTTTTCGGAGTATAAGATGCACCTTTTCCCCCCTAAAAGGGGGTGAAAATTTATACACTGAACATAGCCCCGCCCACCCACTGGCCCCCACCCTTTGGCCTCTGCTTCCCAGCAGTTTACCTCCTTGCAGCAAGCAGCAAGAAGAAACAGCCCGTCTCAGCTTCAGCACAGCCTAATTGGCACAAGATGATTGGATCGGCCTCCCGACTCTCAGCTGTTTTGCTCTCAGCTGTTTTGCGCAGGGCTCTGCTGTTTGCTGCAAGGAGTTAAATTGCTGGGAGCAGATTTTTCTTTTTCCTTGTGCTAATCAAGCTATGCTGAAAACGAAAATGAAAGTAAAGCAGGCTGTTTGCTGTTTGCTGCAAGGAGGCAAAATTGCTGGGAGGCAGAGGCGGATTTCTTTTTCTTGTTTTCCTCACCAAAAAAGGTAGGTGCATCTTATACTCTGAAAAATGCGGTAAATCGGGTGGCACAGTTGATTGTCAGAAATACTGGATAAGATGAACCAGTAGCTTTGATTACTACCGGTTTGCCTGAACCGGTGTGAACCGGTAGCATTTCATTCCTGAGCTTGTGGCATATCGATATGTATACACAAATATAACAAGCCTTCAACTTGTATCAGAACTTTGTGCCCTACCCATGACAAACCACAGTTTCTTCCCACAATCATTGGTGATTTCTCTCATGTTCCCCAAAATCTGTTTGCTTTTCTGGAACCCAATACAGAAAAGAAGATAGCTAATCTTTCTCCCTGCTGTGTCTTTTGATGGCTTTCTTTCATTCAGAGTGAAACCCCATAGAAAGACTCCATGGAGATGACCCCAAACTCAAACTATTGTGCTGCCCTTCAATCTCCTTTTTTTGCCTGAGTGCAGGAGAAACTGAATTCTCTAGAGTTTTTTTTTTTTTAATTTGGGTCCCGCAAAATACAGGGAGGCATTGGTTCCAGATTGTTCAAAAGCTCTCCGGTTCTGCTACTAATATTTTTAATCCCAGAAGTCACAGACCCTCACTGCTGTCATTGAAGATGGAACTTCCAACAGGGTTTGACTCTGCTTTATTTATTTGAACAGGGATCACCTTTGTGACTGGCATGCTCTCAAGGGGTCCATTGAATTGGCACCGTTTTGCTGCTACATTTCCACTGTTATTCCTTTCTATTAGCCACGTTCCACTTTGCAGCTTAGTAAAAGAGATTTTCGGTTCATTGGCTAACTTGAAGGAGGTTTTCTCTGAACATATTTTTCTTTTCCTTGTCTCAGTATTTGTTTGGTTGTTTGATTAAAGAGCCTGATGTCTCTGATCATTATATAGGAGGCCATGGATCACATGGAGGAGATGGAGATGGCTACCAGTACCAGCCCACCAAAGAACAATATTCGGCCACCTCTGCCAAGTGAAATGGAACCAGCTGAGCCAGCTGCTTCCATCCCCTGTGCCAATTTAACTCCGCCGTCCCCTGAAAACAGCCCCCTCGAAGTGCAGAAGAATGGGCATACCATAGACAATTCCAAAACAGCCAAGATCTTTGAGATTCAGACGATGCCCAATGGCAAAACCAGGACTTCCCTCAAAACTATGAGCAGAAGGAAATTTTCACAACAGAAGGAAAAGAAAGCCACCCAAATGCTTGCCATTGTGCTTGGTAAGAGTTTGGTCCAACCTCCCTTGTGGAAGCTACAGCTTCGGCATTTCACTGGATTTATAGACTGGCAAATTAAAAATCTGGGACAGGGAGGAGGAAGAGTTTCCTACTCCATAGCATAAACAAAGAACTTCATTGCTAGTTGTTACATGGGACATTTGTTCAACAAAAGTGCCAATTTCCAATCCCAAATCATTGGCTATTGTTGCCTGTTGTAGCTGTGATGACTCCAAGTAGGAGATACATGTATTCAACAGTTGTGTCAGGCTTATCCCAGCTTGGGGCCTTAGGAAAGAAAGACCCTTGATTCCATTTGTAGCAAAAGCTATACTTTTACTAAAGCTAAGTGGTTACAGTGTAAAAAAAAAGGTGGATCTGACTATTCCCACATAAAACCATGATTTTTCCTCTTCTCCCAGATCCTCCCCCGCTTGACCAGTTTGTAAGTGTCCAATTGTACTCAAAGTAGGTGTTTTGGTAACAGTCTTAAGGTTTGGCGCCTCTTTGGTAGACTTTTGCATTGACACTTCTGGTTCCTGTCATCCAGTCAACCCCCCTCCTGGCATTTATGCCAGGATGCCAGTGAAGCGAAGCAGGCTCAAGTAATTACGAGGGCAGACCTGACAGGTTGCACTGCTAACACAGCCTCTTTTCTTGGTCCTCCTGCAGGTGTTTTCATCATCTGTTGGCTCCCTTTCTTCATCACCCACATTCTGAACATGCACTGCAACTGTAAAATCCCACAGATCATGTACAGTGCCTTCACGTGGCTCGGATACGTGAACAGCGCAGTCAATCCCATCATTTACACGACCTTCAACGTTGAGTTCCGGAAAGCTTTTATGAAGATCCTTCATTGCTAACCTCTGCCTGAGGATCAGTTGTCTGAATCCCCCGGCTGGATTAAGGCTGTGTGTTGGAGCACCCAGTTTGAGAGTGCCATGCCAAATATATTTTTACAACTGGAGTACCACAGCTGTCACGGTCCAAGTTTGCCTTGCGCTCAAGGAAGTATTGAAACTCGGGGAAGACTCGGATGGGAGAGTTTGCTTCAAAGGCAACCTTCTGTTGAAAGGAGAAAGCCAACTCTCACCACCAACAGTTGCATGGGATCAAGATGATCTCCATGAGAGTCATCACCAATTTTAGCTGAGCTCAAGAAGGAGAGACCATGACTTGCTCACGCCTTGCTCTTATGGTCCATTTCTCACCAAAGACGCACCCATTCTTGTCCGCTTCGCACCAGGAGGAGGACTTCTTCTTCGAGGAAGAAACAGCTTTCCCAGGAATTGTCTCCGTTGGCCTTCAGACTTCAGGGACACTGTGGGGTCCATCAAACTGCCGAGGCCAAATCATGCAGCTGTTGTCAAGGCTTAGAGTAGTCGCAACACCATTGCTACCAGACACGTAAAAGGAAAGGGGAGGAGGAGGAGGTTGTGAGAGAATGAAATCTCAGGGCGGAGGGGAGGAGAAGTGAAATTGTTTATTTATACGATGCCAATGTACATACAATTACACAGAATGAACTGAGCAGAAGCCCAAGCCAAAAAAAAAAAACCCCAGAAAAGTGATAACCAATCAATCTCGTTTTGCATGAAATGCATTGTAATTAAAAAGCCATCGCTGCTCACGTACACCAGCATAATGTGGTTGACAGCAACTTCTCTGATTCCAGGAATGAATTTCGTGGAGTACAAATCAGTTCTGACAGGAAGGGAAGGAAGGAAGGAAGGAAGGATGGACGGCAAGATATGGACTACACGGCCTTTGTCAGGCACTTAATACTGAATTAAGGTCTGGAGAAATCTCAACCAAGCCAAAGTGTTAGCTCAAAGGTAGACTATGTGGTTTGCATACATGCATAAGACTCCTGTTTAACCCCAAGTTAAAACCCCGTGGATGTAAAAGAATCAGTTAAAATATGGAGAAGGAATTCCAATGAAATTCCTCGCAGTAAGAGAAGGAGATCTTGGCTCTTTAAGTGTAAGGTAGACCAATTAGACAATAAGCCATCTTTTGAATCACCTGTGATTAGAAGGAATGCAAAGGATGGACTTTACTTTCTCTCCTGGGTTAGGCTTACCTTATCTGGGCTGTAAAAACCTTCCAGATGACAATAAAGTGAGTTTCCTGGTTTTTTGTTTTTTTTACACACCAGATATGGTTCTCTTTGTTCAGCCCAGTTAGATCTGGCCTGCAGGGCCGCCCTAGAAACAGCAAAGGACTGTTTCCGACTGTGACAGAGGAGGCCATCACGGCCAAAAACAAAACCTGGGAGGGCTGTGTGCGGCCCTCCCGAGCTCTGTTCTCGCTGGCAGAGGGCTGCAGGAGGATCCCAGAGCCCCACCCGGGCCACCACAGGTGCCCCTGATACGAGTGATGTCGAGCTGGCCATGCCAACCCTGGCCCCCCGAGGTCAAACACCACCCTGATGCAGCCCTCAAATAAATTAAGTTTGACTCCCTTGTTCTAGACCCGTGATGGTAAACCTATGCCATCCGTGGGACTGGTGGTTCGCAAACGTTTTCGGCTTCCAGAGGGCCTCCAGGGGTGGAGTGGGGAAGGCTGTTTTTGCCCTCCCCAGACTCCTAGAAAGGCTCTGGAGGCTGGGGAGAACAAAAAAATGAGCCTATCGTGCCATTGCGTGCCAGGAGCAGGGGGGAGGGTTGTGCGCACATGCGTGGGGGCAGGGCGCATAGAATTATGGGTGTGGGCACACACACGCGCAACACATACACACACACACACACACACACACGCTCCTGGCACGCGATGGCAAAAAGGCTAGCCATCACTGTTCTAGACTATTCTAGACTGTCCTAGATGTCCTGGGGAATCTGTAGGCAGGAAGAATAGAAGGGGTGACACAGATGGAGAGACCTGGTCCCCAATGATATAATGTACCCTACATCTCTCGGATGTTCAGAAAAGCTCTAGCTCGCATCATCTGCACTGCTTGGTGGGCTCACCTGTTGAGACAGGTGACACACTGAGAGGTTTCTGGATTTCATCTGCGTTGTTCCCAACAAAGTCAACCCACGCAGGAGAAAAAAGTCATTGGAAAGGTTATTTTGATGAAGCTGCATCAGACACAATTTTTGTCTGGCGTGCTGGCTTCACTTCTGTCAAGATCATATTTCCCTTAAAGCAGAACATCTGGGCCTTGGTCTTTTCAAGACGTTTTTCAGGGGGAAAAAAATTGAGACTCGTTTTCTTCAGGGCAGCAAAATCTATATAACAGAGTTCCAGGTTGAAGGAATTTTATTTTATTTTGGTTTTTCTTTTTCCCCCCTCTCTCCCAGATCTTCTGTTAAATTTTAAAAAGTATTGACATCCTTCTTTGACTTTCCTGAAATATACTTCTGGCAATTTCTTAGGGAAACCAAATCAAATCCACATAGATCATCTTCCTCGTATTTCTATCTTGAATGCTCATGCGATAGCCAGGTCTCCTTAGATGTCTTACCTTTTCTCTACAAAAAATGGTGACGGACAGTTAGGAGCGAGTAATTCCAGACTGTCTCTGGTCAGTTAGCTCTGGTTGGGGTGGTGGGAGAACCACTTACTGCTGAAACCTTTTCAACCTCTCCCTCTAGGAAAAAAAATAAACCATCGTCAAGTCATCAGCGAAAATGGTCAACCCATCCGTGGCCAATGCTGTTATTGTTACCCTCTACCAAATTCACAGTATTTTTGTAAGATGCTGCAGAAACTGTACAAGCCAACTAATAAAATGACATGGAAATGGGTTTTTTTCTGGGATCTCATTTGTGAACTTGAGGGGTGAGTAAGAGTGGAGTCTAGCCATGGCTGTCTCTCTTAGGAAGAACAAACTTGAAGGCTCTTGTGCAACCTTCTCCATTTTCCAGGTTACTCTTCGTAACGTAGAATCCAAGCTGTGGTTGACCTTTCTCAGATGGCTCTCTCTCTTCTTCGACCTTCAGAACCTCTCTGTACTGACGGTTCCTCCATTATACTTAATGGTCTCAATGGGTTAGAGCACTTCTGAATAGGGCGGTCACAAGATATGGTTTGTTGGATCCAGGTAGTTCTACCTCGGGTTGTTACTTTCAAAAGCAAATGGCTCAGGCATGGCCAGAATCAAGTCAACTCCACCCAATCATTGGTGTTGTGGGATCACTTACATTTCCCAGTTTTCCAAGAAAAAATCTGTCCAGAGCCACCTTAGAGAAGGTGGGACTGAGATGGCCACCAAGAACACATCTCTCAAATCCTGGTGAAGTGCAACGGAGAAGCCATGCCCCCTGCCTTTGCCTGGACAATGAGAAGGGCCAAAGATACTCCAAAGCTTTACCATGACATTCCTGGTGGAAGCATCCAGGCACCTGAGTGAGGACTCTCCAAAATGATTGATTCTTGACTCCAAAAGTGATTGTGTGTTACCAAAACCATGAATCAGGAGATTAGATTAGTTAGTAGGCTGGCTGAACTCAGTCTGTTATGGGAATAGGCCCACTTCGATTCTTTTCCCGTAGCAAATCTGGAGAGGGGATGTTGTGTGGCAAATTTGAGAAAGTTATAGACCCATCCTCATTTCCTTTGAGAAATATTGAAAGGTCTACATTTAAGAGTTTTGAAAAGTTCTGAGAATAGTGTGCCAACCACCTGGAGAACTGGGAAAGTTTTAACAGAATAACAGAGTTGGAAGGGACCTTGGAGGTCTTCTAGTCTCTTGTTCAGGTAGAAAACACTATATCCGTGATGGTGAACTTATGGTATGCGTGGCACAGGTGACACATGTAGCCATATCAGTGGGCACGTGAGCTCAGCTTGCCAGCTTTGGGCCTTCTGGGCCCACTAGAAGTAGGGAAACAGGACGGAGGGCCTCGTGGGAGGGATGCCCATTTTTCTCTCTCACCTGGCTCCAGAGCCTTTCTAGGAGTCTGGGGAGGGTGAAAACGGCCTTCCTCCTCCCCCCACCCGGAGGCCCTCCAGAGGCCAGAAACGGCCCATTTGCCAACTTCTGGTGGGACCAGAAGTTGGCAAAAGGGCCATTTTCAACCTCTGGTGGATCTCCAGGGGGTGGGGAAGACCGTTTTCACCCTCCCTAGACTCCTAGAGAGGCTCTGGAGGCTGGGGACAGCAAAAAACGGGCCTTCCGGGCCATCGCGTGCCAGGAGCGTGTGGAGCGTGTGTGGGGGGGTCCACACATGCATGCGTGGGGGTGGGGCGCATTGAGTTATGGATGTGGGCACGCGCGCAACCCCCTCTCCCCCCCTCTTGGCACACGATGGCAAAAAGGTTAGCCATCACTGCCCTATATCATTTCAGACCAATGCCTGTCCAATCTCTTCTTAAAAACTTCCAGTGTTAGAGCATTCACAACTTCTGGAGGCAAGTTGTTCCGCTGGTTAATTGTTCTCACTGTCAGGAAATTTCTCCTTAGTTCCAGGTTGCTTCTCTCCTTGATTAGTTTCCATCTGTTGCTTCTTGTCCTGCTGTCTGGAGCTTTGGAGAATAGGCTGACTCCCTCTTCTTTGTGGATGGTTGATTTTGTCAATAGATGGTTTTCTAGACCCATCTATTGCCCAAACCCTTCTCAGAAGAGGTGGGGGCGGGGAATCAAAAGGCCAAGAGTTCGCCTTGACTGGAAGCTATGATTTCATAATGTATATGGTGCCCAAGTCTTTCTTTCGGCTTTCTTCCTGTTGCCTCTGAAGGCTGAATCACCTCCTGGGTCTCTTGGCTGGCCTGTCTCTCTTTGGAGCCAAGTCAGGGAGTGAGCCTCCCCCCCCCCCAGGAGTGGCTGGGCAGGAAAAGGGCAACATTTCCTTTGCTTTTATTGCAAGAAGACACCAAAGCGCCCTGACATCCATGGTGTTTGAATCTTTTAATTAAGAGGGTGGCAAATTGATTTGTAGGGTGGAGTGCATTTATTTAGACTCAAACAAAACCTGAACCAGACAGCTGGTAAGAACAAGATGTTTCGCCCGCCTCTTCGGCTCTCCGCAGATTTGGCATTTCCAGTCTGCTGGCAAGAAAGGATTTGCCATTTTCCGGTGTTTGTGGAAGGAATTAATTTTTTGGCTCGCGTGTAATCCTAATCAGTGGCCGTCTACAAAAGACTATCTAATTCCACACGGTACAAAGATTAGCCTGTTGTTGGTCTTTCATGCGTGATGTCTCAATCCTTTTCCAAGAAACAGGAGGCAGAAGGTTCAAAGATGTTCTTAGATGGCCCTCAAGTTTGTGTCATCTCGGCTGCAATGGACCCCTTGAGGGTGGCTTTGTCTGACTTGATAGAATAAAGCAACTTGTTTCTAGTTCCTAGAGAGAGCGTGACTGTATTTATTTCATTTCTGTCAGCAAGGTCTCCATGAACACAATACTTCCCCAATGACATCTGTCTAAGTAGACCTTTGCCCTAAGAAAGTCCAGATGTGGATGGTAGTCCAGATGAGGAAAAACAGATGAAGCGATTGCGAAAGGAACCTGGTGCTGAGAGGTGATCAGATCTTCAGATTAAACGAGTTGGAAGGGACCTTGTAGGTCATCTAGTCCAACCCTCCATCCAAACAGAAAACCCTATATCATTTCTGACAGATGGCAGTCCAGACTCTTCTTGAAAGTCTCCAGTGATGAAACTCCCATAACTTCTGAAGGCAACTTAAAACCAGGAAGTAACAACACCCAGGCGGATCGCTATCGGATCGCCAAACCACCCGCGACGATGGTTACCGGATCGTCCGAACCGGTCCGAACCGGGAGCATTTCACCCCTGTGGCACAGGCAATCCTAAATTTAACAAATCTCTTCCCTGGATCTCTGTGAGCGGAAAAAATCTATTGGGAAGCTTTTGTTGTGATGTGTATTTCGGTTTCTAATGTATTACAAGGCCCTTCAGTGTTTTTCACGCGAGACAGGGAAAAAAAAAACCCCACTGGAAGCAAATGCTTGCTTTTGTAAAACAGTGGAAACAATCAATATTAATAATTTTCATTAAAATTATGTAGCCTGTGAGTTAATAATTAATGCTGCATAATGTATTAGTTTCGAATTGCAATCAAATTCCATTTTCGTGCCCTTTCTGGCTTGTTTTTATAGCTTTTAATTAATGTTATGGATAGGCCCACATTTAGTGCGTCTTTGTTGGGGGCAGACAGGAAAGCGGGAATGGAAAGATATTTCCTGCAATAAACATGTAGAGAAGCATCCCAGAATAACTCAGGAGCAGCAAGGAAAAAAAGAAAAAGAGATGATAAAAGTGCTTCAGCAGCAAAATTCTGAAACAATGAAAAAGGTTATTTTAGCAGTTGGTGAGCTTCTATGGCAGTGTTTCTCAACCTTGGTAGCTTGAAGATGGGTGGACTTCAACTCCCAGAATCCCCCAGCCGCTTCTGGTTGGGGGATTCTGGGAGTTGAAGTCCACCCATCTTCAAGCTTCCAAGGTTTTTGTGACCTCCTGCCAAGCAAAGTCCATGGCGAAGCCAGATTTGCTTAACAGCCTTGTGACTAACTTCACAACGGCGGTTGCTTCACTTAACAACTGTGGCGAGAAAGGTCGTAAAATGAGACAAAACTCAGCTTAACAACTGTCTCGCTTAGCAACAGAAGTTGGGGGAGTTAATTGTAGTCGTAAGTCAAGGACGACCTGTGTATGGTACCTTGATGACCTGGAGATTTCAACTCCCAGAATTCCTGAGACAAATTTAAATAACCAAACATTTCTTTTTCTCTGAAGATCCATTGTTTTTTTCTGCAGGAAAATGGTACACATTCATATGGGGGGGGCAGGGAAGGGAAGGGAAGGGGGGGTCTGGCAAGGGGATAATAAGACACCACAGATGTCAATCCGGAATAAACCAGCCAATCAAGGATGGAGAATGGAATGCATAAAAACCTACACCAAAGAGAAACAGAACTTCAAAGCCCTTCCCAAAACATCAAAACAAGCAATTATGATTGGACGCTGATGGACTGGTCGAGGGGGGGGGGGATGCAGGGAAAGAGGGAGAAAAAATGCAAACTTTGTGTGGGAATACTCAGATCCAGCTTGGCTTATGCTGTAACACTTCAGTTCAAAGAATGGAGCCAAATTTAAATTAGATAGATAGACAGACAGAGAGAGAGAGAGAGGAAGAGAGAGATGATAAATAGATGATAGATAGATAGATAGATAGATAGATAGATAGATAGATAGATAATAGACAGACAGACAGATGATTGATTGATAGATAGATAAATAGATAGATAGATAAACAGATGATAGATAGATAGATAGATAGATAGATAGATAGATAGATAGATAGATAGACAGACAGACAGACAGACAGACAAATAAATAAATACTGGCCTGATTCCATGTTGGTTTTAACGTTTGATACTGATTTTTAATTGATATGTTTTAAATTATGGGCCAAATTTCATTAATTAGTTTTAATAATTATTTTAACTTTTGTGTACAAATGTTTTTATTCTGGCTGTTCACCGCCCTGAATCCAAAAGGAGAAGGGCGGTATACAAATTTAATAAATAAATAAATAAATAAATAAATAAAATAAAATCCACTCTAAAATATTGGTGATGACACTTCAAAGAATAAAGATGAAAATGAATGAATGAATGAATGAATGAATGAATGAATGAATGAATGAATAAATACATATCCACTCCAAGAAATTGATGGGGACAGAAAAGAACCTTTCACTTCAAAGAATGGAAAATGAATGAGTGAATGAATGAATGAATGAATGAATGAATGAATGAATGAATAAAATCCACTCTAAGA